GCACCGATTTGGCACCGGTATACTGGAGGAATCAATTTATGTTCTGCAAGGAACCCTATAGTGAAATTTTTTATAAAGAACCATTGTCAGTGTGACTGTCTGTATATCCAGATTATCTAGATGTGAAAAAAAAAAAAAAAAAAACAAGGCGTTAGATTTGTTGTTGTGTTTCAGTTTTGATACTCTGGCTTCTTAAATTAAATTTGAAATGATCTATTGCTTTAGGATTCAATTTCTAAACTGTGTCTGTCCACACTAGCATTTTAAAAAGATAAGACTTACTGACAAAACATAATAAAATATTCACAATTATTTTATTAGTAAAATAACCTACCGTTTAATGGTGCACCCTGATTACACTTCATCCATTTACTTTACCAGGCAAAAGTTTGGGGTCAGTAGGATTTTTAAATGTTTTAAAACGAGCTCATCCTGCTCACCAAGGCTGCATTTATTTAATCAAAAATACAGTACAAATTGTAAAATTGTGACATGTTATTGCACTATAAAAAACTGTTCAAAAGTAGTATATCATTTAATTTAATCATTTGTTCCATTGATTTTAAGTGCGGTTTGTTTATAAACTAATTTTGAGAGGATCACGTGCTTATGATCAACATGGCTGGCACCAAATTAGCTCCATAATCTGCCCTATTAGATGATTACAGACGCATTATAAATAACCAGAGCTTTTCACTCCAGTTATCTTCGTCTTGAAGTTCCTCCCCTTCCACCCCTACTTACCACCCTGTTTTCCAAAAGGGGCGACACGGCGACCCAGTGGCTAGCACTGTTGCCTCACAGCAAGAACATTGCTGGTCCAACCTCCTTTTGGGCTGCTTGGTGTTTCTGTGCAGAGTTTGCATGTTCTCCCCCTTGTCATGTGAGTTTACCCTGGGTTCCCCAGTTTCCTCCCACCGTCCGAAAACATACACTACAGCCAATCAAATAATCAAAATTATCACCTAAGACAACTTTAGTTTACACTTCTTACACGACGACAAGCAGGGGAGTTCTCGAGACCTACCTGAGCTCGAACCCTTTCGCCCTTCTAACGGGAGGGAGCCCCAGGCTCAAGGATATTACGAGCTCAGGGCTCTCTCCCAGAACAGTGTGCCAATTACGCTTTATTAATCACCAGCTTAGTGTAAACTCTTGAAAGATTCATTTTCAGCTTTATTACTTCAGTATAATATTAATTATTATGAATGGTAGCAGTAATAAAAGTAATAATGACTGAAGTAATAATTTCATTTGGAAAAAACTACAAACAATAAGAAAGCAGTTATTTAAAATTTTATGCTACGGTTTACGAAAAAATTTTCTTAAAAAAAAAAACCCAAACTTTTGACCGGTAGTGTATGGTCTAGAATGCATTAAAGTGTATGCATTGTATGCAGTATATGCATAATGCCAAACGTGCTATCTCAGTTTGGATGGAAAGCCAAAAACGTATCCAATTTAGTTTAGCCTCAGCCCATGAATTCTTCTACATATTTATCAGTCATTTTACTTAGGCAAGCATAAATGTGACCCACTCCGTTGGCAAAGTTTGAAGGCGACTAACTTAAAAGCCAGAGGTGAGCTACTTCACTTTATTGGAAAGCCGGTAATTTGCTCCAGTTAGCCTCCGGTTTGCTGTTGTTGCAGCATACAATCATACCCAGCCTCTACAAGAACCTGAGGATCTTCCAGAGTAGTAGAAGACTTATTACAGCATACCATAGGCATTGTCTGGTGCTTATAGCCCTTGAAATACCATAGGTACAGTTGTTTATGTTTTTTTTACTACTAACAATGAATGACAATACAATAAAACACTTGCTCAATGTATAAATCAATGCATTAAATTTAACAACCGGTTAATAACAATAAGTTACCATACTGTTACTGATATTTATTTCTTATCTTTCATATTGGACAGCTACATAATGAATAAATGCTTTTTATTTTAAATAGGTGGGGTGTTTTTGTCATCAATAGTTTAAAAGAAACCTTGAATGTACAAGCAACAGTGTCCAAATGAAGACAAATTGAAATGCAATTGTGGGCACACTGCAGTGAGCGTACATTTAAGAAACAGTGAGCGTCCAAGCAATGGCACGAAAACAAGAAAAAGAAATGATGAATGCATTACGAGTTCGAGAGCTGCAATTTTCCACTGTCTGCATTTCTGCTCATCCAATTAATTTGCTTTGCCTGCTCTTTGGGCGTTGTGCCTCAAGGAGACAGCGAATCAGAAGACGACGTCCCTGTTCTTGGCTTGAGTCATTAATAAATGCAGCACACTGTACTGAGAGATGCAGTGCCTAATGTAATTTATGAAGCTAAAAACAAAATCTAAATGAAAAGAGATGGGCCTCATCATCGCGTGTGTCAGTTCTGCATTGGGAGGGATGTCTCATATCCTGTGTTGCCAGATTGTGCTTTCATGTGCATGGCTTTATTGCGTATTTCTTGGCCACATTAAATAATCAGTGACGCGACATCTGCTATTTGC